TATATATATATATATATATAGGTCAGTGGCCCTTGGCTTGGTATTGTTGGCAAAATTCGGCCCTCGGCGAAAATTAATTGAGGAATCCTGCATTAGAGTGTGCACGGATCCACACTTCAAAAATCGACCTGAAAAAGTAGACCATCCGGGGACTTTTGCCATACTCTTTTCAACATACTTACGCTTTGGGACACACTTATTCTAATCTCACATCCTATTTAGGATGGATAGTATGAACATTGAGACGCAGGTCAAGTGAGTATTTTCATCAGTGAGTCAATAAATCATTTAGCCGATTCGTTCAAAACACTGATTCATTAAAAAACGAAATGAGTGAGTGACCGTATGTGAATAACTGAATCATTTGCTCAAATGATTCATTCAAAACCGCTGATTCATTCTGAAACGCCATGTGTTGCTTGGAGACACGCGACGGTTCATCCTGCTGTTGGCTTCGTTTGGAACTATTTCTGTAAGAATTGCAAGTTTGTGTGTAAAATATGTTTCTCAATACTAACTTCTAGACTATTGACCTTGTGTACCTTTTAGATTATGTTTTCTGTCATCTAAATTAGGCTACTGCTTAAAGGAATAGCGATAGATTGCGACAAATAACTCTGAACGCTTTCCTATAATAGAAGTCCCACATTTAATATAGGGACAAAATTAATAGGTTACCATAACTCATCATTGCAACATAATGTTGTAACGCCCAAATCCACTAAAGCATAACTACATTGTTTGATTTTATTTTTACATACAAAATGGAATGGATTCTTGCTATTGCCCATAATTTTTATATCAGTGCAAAAAAGTATAGCCTATTTATCCAGTGTCAAATGATTCTCAAAGTAAAGTTACAAAGACCTAAAACTAACTTTTTGCCTTCTACAAGGTCACAAGCCTGGAAACAAAGACACACTGTGCTCACGTGCGTCACCGAAACAGATGACAACAGACACGGCTCATTCCATCGAAGAAGGTAATGTGAACGTCATAGTCAAAATCAAGTGCATACTGTGCACAAGTGTCTACTAGCAATATAAAAATGTTTAATAGTCATTATAAAAAATTAAAAATAAAACATATTTTAAGATGAATCCATTTCCTCTGTTTTATCATTCAGGATGCTCTTTCATAACTCAGGAAATATATTCATCAGTGAGTTTCATTCAAGTATCAACTTGACTGTTTCTCCTAAAATGGAGAATCAAAAAGACAATTGTGACCCTGGACCACAAAACCAGTCATAAGGGTCCATTTTTTAAAATTGAGATTTATACATAATCTGAAAGCTGAATAAATAAGCTTTCCATTGATGTATGGTTTGTTGACAGGACAATATTTGGCTGAGATACAACTATTTGAAAATCTGGAATCTGAGGGTGCAAAATAATAAAAATATTGAGAAAGTTGTTAAAGTTGTCCAAATGAAGTTCTTAGCAATGCGTATTACTAATCAAAAATTAAGTTTTGATATATTTACGGTAAGATATTTACAAAATATCTTCATGGAACATGATCTTTACTTAATACCCTAATGATTTTTGGTATAAAAGAAAAATCGATAATTTTGACCCATACAATGTATTTGTGGCTATTGCTAAAAATATACCCAAGTGACTTAAGACTGGTTTTGTGCTCCAGGGTCACAATTGTTGTCATATGAGACTATAGATCTATAGTAAATATGATACAATTATATTATACATACATACATATGACCCTTCAAGTTTCCAAAATACACCTACTTATCTCTGATGCTCAAGAACAATTCAAACACACAGGAACAGAAAACAGGAATTCAGAAGTTTTATATATATAAATATAAATATGTAATATTACCAGGCCCAAGAGACAGATATAGGACATAAAGAGTGAACAAACTGGTATTGGTATTGAGTGCTGTCAAGATAATTGTTACCACTTCGTCTGCTGTCCTCCCACAACAGGTAGATTAGAGCGTATAGTCATGTGATCCCGCAGACCCACCTGAGAGCAGATCTATCACTGTCTGCTTCTGATAACATCTCCTGCCATTCCTCTCAGAAACACTCTGACTGCTGGGAAAAATATGTCCCTACAAGTTTCCAAAATACACCTACTTAGCACTGATGCTCCTGAACAATTCAAGCACAGAGCAACAGAAAACAGGAAATCAGAAGTTAAGGGTTTTCAGATGTCCTTTCAGTGTATACTTATTATATATATACAGTATATATATATATATATATATATATACACTAGTCAACATTTGAATTGGATCAAAACCTTTCATCAAAGTTGTC